TATATCTGTGCATTCACACAAATGTATACAATTCACACATATATACACAAATACACAAACATGCACATATACAAATACATTAAAACCATTTCATTTTCCTAGGTATTTCTTTATTAACATTTAAAATTCCCCAAAACAAAGTCTTAAATGCATTTAAATTCTTTCTTAACTCAGATCAAGCAAAAATACTAATCCAAGCATGAACAAATTTAGAGTTTAAAATAAATTTATGCACACTGTAAGACCCCATCAAAAAAATCACATATTTTTTCATGTCCTAGTCATATTTTCCTCAGGAAAAAGGCTTCTCACCATGCTATTTCCCAGTCTCTGTTTTGGTTCTCCCTGCTTAGTGTGGAGCATTGATCTCTGGGAAGAATGGCTTGTTATTCAACATGTGGTCTCTAGACCTGCAGCTTCTGCACAGCCTGAGAATTCACCAGAAAGATACAGCAGAACCCCTGAACTGGAGTCTGCCCTGTAAAGCATCTCAGCCACTCTGCCTGTGCATTCCAAACAGAAGCAGAGCTGTTCTTTTCTTTGTGCTACATAAACAAGAAAACCAGGGTTCTTCTCCAAAAATCCCCACAGATGACAGCATACAGTGACATCTGAGGGACATCTGCTGCCTCTGCTGTACACAAACACGAAATGAGAGCCACATCCCGAGACAGCTTCCATGCAGATCTCCATGAAGGAATAACTGCAGGCCACTCCAGTCCAAAATGTATGAAGTGAGAATTTTCAGTATTCTCTGAGCTCCAGTACTTATTCATGGTACCTTGAAAGTACTGGAAAAGAGAGAAGATCTGCCACAGCTCCCTTTCGAGATTTCTAAGAGGTGAACCATCATGCAGTAGCAACCCCCATCCCCAAGACCTGCCCACTGCATCAATGAGGTTAGCACACAGTCTCCTGGTCCACATAGATCTAACCATGTCTGTGGTCTGCTTACTTATTTTCTCTAAAGTTCTTTGTTTTCAGGCACCTTTTAAAAATCCAATTTCAAAAGAAAAAGTGTTCACTACCTTTAGTCACTTTAAAAGAGAGAATTAAACATAAAGCATGCACAATTGAACTTGTGAAGAAATTCAATTTCTTAACTTTGTTTTACAGGGGCAAAATTATCTAATAATTTTTATCTCTAACATCATGTAACCACAATGCTGCTAGGAAATTCTGGAAAAAATACAATATGGACAAGAGTTGGATAGTATCTGGTTCATAAATTGCTCTTTTCTTTTCTTTTTCTATTTTATTTAGATGAGGTATCATCATTTTCTATTCAGAATATCAGTGCCATCGCCTACCACCAACCACTGACCGATCAGACTGGAAAAGGCATTTAATGTCTCAAAGCCTCAGTCTCCAATAAATCAGATATAATTATGCCTGTGTCATAGTGGTGTTTTAGAAATTTAATGAGGTAATGTATGTGCCTGGTACATAGAAAACACTCAATAAAGTTAACTGTTACTTTGTTGTCTTAAACACATTTTTAAAAAAACACAGGGCAAACTCTATGGAGGCAGTACATATGTCTAGCTCAGATATGTATATAATTGCTACAGCCCAGCCTACTGGTTTTTACATTGTAAGTACCCAATCAATGCAAGTTAAGTTCAATTACATTGGCCCAGGGTTTTAGCTCAGTACCATACTTGCCTGGCAAGCACAAGGTCCTGAGTTTGATTCCCAGTACCGGGGGGAAAAAAAGTTCAGTTACATTAAACCCACTGTGTGGAATCTGATTTTCCTTATGAATAGGAAGAAATAGAAAACTGCATTTCTCCTCAAGCAGGAGTCACTGGAGTCTTCATGTTAGTGCCCTCCTCTGGTGGCCTCCACACACTGACCTCACAGTTCTGAGACACCTTCGCCCTGGCGAGCCTGCCCAGATGTTCCTTGAAGCTGACTCTGAACTAGCTGTCAACTCTGCAGAACTATTCCTGAAGCTTAGAGATAATGATTCTCCAGCATACGTGGCCTTGACAATTTCCTGATAAAGAGCTAATTTAATACTTATGAACTAGGCTGGGCGGAGGTCTATAATTCCAGCACTGGGGAGCTTGAGGCAGGAGAATCACCTTGAATTTGAAGCCAGCCTGAGCTACATAATGAGAGTCTGTATACAAAAAAAATAAATAAATAAAATAAATAAAAAATAAATAAACCTTGTAAAATGTTCTAATCTCTGAAGGACAGAGGGAGAAACAAAAGTGCAGATTGCCAATGGATGACAGGATGGAGGGCCAGCCAGGTCCTCACAGAACAGGGTGAAGGGTCACCAGGGAGCTGGCAGGCCCTGGCCAAGTCTCCAGCACAGCCCTGTGCAGTTGTGACCTTCTGGTGGGGGTACTGGGAGGGTTGAGGGATTACTGCCTGCTCTACTGACGGAGCTACTTCAGCTACCTAAACGAAACTATTTTCAAATACAGGTATTTTTATGAAAACATCCTTTTTTTCCTTCCAGATAAACTGAGAACCAAAAAATTAAACTAAAATGGGGACTGATTCCTGTATTTCCATTCCTTTCAGTAACTGGAAACAGTTAAAAATGATGATTGTGTTATCTGTCTGGCAGCAAAATGTGCCTGAAGAGGAGATCTTGAAAGTAGAGCCCAGAATCGTATGTCCTCTCTTCCTTCTCTGTCCACAAGGCTGCCCTGCTAGTGCCTGCTGTGGAAAGCACAAAGAGTTCTGCAAGGTATTTCGGGAACAAGAAGTAAGACAAGAAGTCAGTCTGTCCCTGGGGATTCAGCCCTCAAATAAGACATCACAGCCTAGCAATGCAAAATACCCTTCAAGAGACCAAACAGCTCCCAGGCCAATGAGAGAAGACAGGAAGCTGATTAAACATATTAACACATCTAAAGAAAAAATGTTTCAGTCTCCTGGGGCAGCTGGTCAGCTAAGAAGGCCCAGAAAAAGAAGAATTTTAGAGGCAAATATAAAAGGTGTCCATCTAAGAGCTCTGGAGGACACTTTGCCACTTGTCTAATGAAAAAGAAAAGTTTATTTTTATCAAAACAGTTTCAGGTAGACAGTGTGAACTTGCCTAACTTTCTGAGAAGGGCTGCACATTGAATAAAACAACAGAGGTTGTTAGCTCTGGAGAGCTGAGGCCCTGAAACCCTGAAGCCCTCTCTCTAACCTGCCCCATGTGAGTCCGTTCTCTCCTCATTAGCTTGCCATTAAAATCTAGCTTCCCATGTGCCTGCCTCCAAGGAGAGAAGGACATCCCAGAAGACAAAGGCCTGAGCACCTCTCCAAGCTCTCCGTAAACAATGAGAGAGTAGCCTGGCTTTCTATATAAGTCCTGTGCTCTGGATTATTAACAAACCATTCTGGGAGACAAATGTCCTCTCTTGGTGTCTTGACAATGGTTCTTATGAGGCTGAACCTGCTAATGGTACCCACATCCATGAGCAAATAGCTAGACAGGCAGCCAGGACTCCCCACTCTCAGCCCTGTGCTCTAGGCTGTCTGTATTCATCTGAGAGTTCCCATCAGATTGGGCCACTGAGATAAGTTCGTGATTATTCTCTAAGATGTTTGATTATAAACAAGTAATTTTTCTTATTCAGCATCATTATTAATCAAAGACATGCAAATTAAGAAAAAATTACCAAAAGGAAAACTGGCACAGGGTAAAAGTGAAGAGGAATTCTCATTTGTTGCTGATGTGGCTATAAATTGGAAACATTTCAGAAGTTTTAGAACTGCATACATCTTTGGCCCAGCAATTCTACTTCCAAAAATTTGGCTTTACTTTATTAAATATATGGACATTTATTTAATCACAATGATGCTTCTGGAGTAGTTCATAATAGATGCAACTTGAAAATCATGTAAAATATTCAACTGCTGAGATTGGTTAAAAATACCTATACTGTCATAATAGAACTGTATTGACATATTCAGTATATTACGAAAGTGTATTAACTAACCAAGAAAGCTATTCACAATGTATTTCAATTTTCTTCTCTTTGCTTGGTTACATATTCTATTTTTCTATGAATATTTATTATCAGACATAGCCCTGGCTCTGAACCAAAGTTGAGGAGCTGCCTCTATCTACATGAAGAATGACAGAATGTAAAGGTTGGAAGGAAATTGAGACATGTGCTGATACAAATCCTCTCTCTAAGAGACAACAAAGGGGCTTTAAAGATACAAAGGATTCATCTGAGTCCACCAGTTGTATAAGCTCTGCTCCTCCTGTTTCCTCCAAACTTCAGCACAACCTTGCCTCTGTACTAACAAAACATCAGTGTCACAACTCAGAAGCTAAAGTGCCCCTCTGGCTGCATGTTGAACCAAAACACTTGAATAAAATAGTTTTGAATGATCACTCATCTGAGTGACCTAGGTACATAATGAGAAAACTCAACTGCAAACTGCCTCCCATAAGATAGTCTAGAACTTTCTAAAGTGTGCCATAAAGCACTAAATTTCTCTCAAGACCTCTCAGAATGAACTGGTGAGAAGGTGAGTAGAAAGAAGAGGGAAAATGACAATAAAAATGAAGTCCGACTTTGTGACCTAGACTCACTGTCATTTCTTGATGTGAAAACTCTACACTCAATGAGCCCCACCATTCTGTGCACCAGAAAAGAACATGCTGGACTCTTAGAAGTTAACTCGTGTCTTCTGCAGGAAAGCTATGTCTCCGTTCTCTTTTGTGACTTCGGTCTGCTAACTTTCGACCAATTTTCAATGAGGCATTTAATGAAGAATTGCAGTTAACATGGCCACATCTGGCCTCAAATCATCTCCCTGTAACCGCTGTTTTTTCTTCAAGCAGCATTCATTTGGAGAGTTTGGACAGGACAGGAGGACAAAGTTAATGTTTCCCTCATGGCACAAGTCAAGAAAGTAGCAGCCAAGAGTGAAAGGGAGTGTTCCAAGAGGCACCATCTCCCCAAGCCTCCATCTTCACTGTCAAACCAGCACTAGATAAAACAAGTGCACCTCAAAGGGATGAAGGTCTTACTTACGGACACACATGTCCCTGCTTTCGTAAAATCCAGGACAACACTGGGATTTGCGCCTATACATAGTTTTTTCCCCATGTCGATAGGCTGTCCGATAACTGATTCTATGTAAAGGGAAAAAAATCACATTGTTAGTTCTTTTGACTGATAATTTGATCAGAAATAATTTTTATTTTAGTAGAAATGGGGGATTACTAACTATAATAAAGGCATGCAAAGCAAAGTACTTCAAAATAATTAATAAATATGGAATATATGTCTTGACCAATACTATGCTAACTCTCAGCAATGTGCGGCTAATATTGAGTTCCTAATAAAGTCAACCCATACTGATGGTGGTGAACCTATGGCACTCATGCTGCGCAGGCTATCTGCTATGACTGAAAGCTCTAAAAGGTTTGCCATCACTGGCCTATACTTTATTGTTCATGATTTTCCTTCTTCACTTACCTCAAAATAACTTGCAAAGTATTGATTTTCCTGTGTGATCCCTACCTAAGCATGGTTCACTTACCTATGTCTAAAGGAAGAATTCAGAGAATGTCTTTTAAAATCTCAGTCCGGAGTCATTCCACTATAAAATCAGAAGACTAATAGATGCTTTTCCATTTAAAGCATCACTCATTCACTGATTCACATATATATGTTTAAGCACTGACTGTATTTCAGGTACGGAGGAAATAGTAAGCAAAATGATACCAAATTCTTAGCCTCAAAAAAACTTACTTTTTATGGAGGAAGACAGATCTTGTAGAATTTGTTTAATAAAGACATATTAAGCAAACAGATAATAAAATAGCTTGCAGTGACTATGATAAAGAAAACTAAAGTCTGAGTCAAGGAATAAAATGTGACAGGGAAGGAATGCTAGTTTAGATAGAGTGGTCTGGGTTAGCTTGTGTGAAGAAATGACATTGAGCACAGCATCATTCCATGCAGAATACATCAGCAGGTGCCACATTCAACCCATAACTCACTACTACAAATTTATAAATACTTTAATAATAAAATTAGAGTATTAAGGTCTGCCTCTCTGTAAGCTAATAATATTTTGATTTTGTCTCTATGTTTACATCTATAGAGTAATATATACAGCTTGTTTTACTTAAGGGTCAAATTTAAGCACAAATGGTGTTCAATTAGAAACATTCTGAGACAGGGGTTTCTTTCTATTTGGTGATATCCATATTCAACAGGATCTTTCCCAATCAAACACAGAAGCTGGGTGAAATACTGGTAACTGAGTGATGAAGAGCTGACATTTCCTCTGTCATTCAATTATAAGCTCCTACAGGGCACAGGCTGCCTCTCTGCCATCCTGTGTCTCCAGTGATCTGCAGCAAGACTGGGACGGTAGCAAGCCCTCAGTACAATTCATTGCATGTCTGTTCTCCAGTAATTGATCTCTGCTTATATCAGACTCCACTCCCAGGTAGCCAAACTACTGGACATATCTGGTTCCCTTACCTGTGCCGAGTGCATTTAAACCAGTTCAGGATGTCAGTGCAGCTGGTGTAATAAATCTGATCAAAGGGATGTGGGTATGACTCTTGCACAGTCACTGAGTAGCTGAAAGAAAAAGAAAAGGAAGGAATCCATATTTGTCTCTTTTACATTAATGATATAGGAAATGGAAAATAAAGGAACCACTTTTTTTTACGTTAACAATACAATGCACACTTAAAAAACAATTATAGGCTAAATTATCTCCATTTGAAATTCCATACTAACTTTTCAGAAAATATCTATGTTTTCATTAAGTTTTGATTTGAACCATAGCCCCAAAAGACCAACACTAATAATATACTTAAAAGACAAAGGTTTATACTCTGAATTTCTTTTTTTATTAGTATATGTTTGTATGCTATAAATTTCAAATGAAATTTTCTTTTATTGTTCATGATAAGCCCTAAACTTTACCAATTTAAAAACATATAGCTATATTTTTCTGTATTTAATTCCCTCCTCTTGTCCTGGGGATACAGGTATAACAAAGACCTTCACAAAAGTTGGTGTTCTAAGTCTGCATGAAGATAATAAGGTTAATTACAAAGAATTTACAATGGAATATATTTTGCTACTGCTTTTAAAAGATCAGAAAGAACATATTTCTCTGGTGGAAATTGGGACTAATTTGCTTTCATGTTCTGGTCCAGTTTCTCAGGCAGTAGACAAATATATACAACATCTAAAAAAAAACTACAAAGAAGTCTTCAAATCTATTCTAAATATGTGACTGAGACAACTAGCATAAATAATCATACTAGCAGCTTGCTGCTACTTAAACATTGTTTTCCCACACATTTTCAATAACAGATTCTTCTTAGAGAGTAAAAACATGCAACCCAATGGGCCCAAGAATGTGAAACATCCATGAAATATAAGGAACATTCAATTCCATACTTCTTTTTTTCAAATGTTTTTATTAGTACATGTTTGTAATGCATAATGATTGAATTCCTCCTGGAGAACTTGTACATGTACATAACACATCTTAATTCTTTTTTCATCCCCTCCCCCCCTACTTCTGGTTACCTTTTCCTTTTGCAAAAGATCTATCTCCCTATTTCCTATTATCTATCTTTTATTTTGCTCTGTATATTTTGGGTTTCTCATTTAAGATAAACCGTACAATATTTAAGCTTGTGTGTCTGATTTATTTCCTTCACCATTATGGTCTCAAGGTATTATTACAATCCTCAAGAGGTTAATGTCTGCCTACAAGAAAATCTGGAGAATTTCCTTTGCTGAACAATTTATTCTGTCTGCACTAAGTCTCTTAAAGATTTCTATTAAAATCTCTACTTTACACTAACAAAGAAAATGGACCATAATCACTGACTCACTTGCAGCCAATCAATAGCCCAAGTTCATTAATAGGAGTAATCAGTTAGAAAAGGAACAGAAAGAATGAGACTGAAATTTTAAAATGAAGAATTCAGGTTAAACATAGGACAGAATCTGCTGATTTGCAAAGCTCTATGATGCTGACCTCTTGATGACTTTTCTTTCTGCAGCTGGTTTCTGGTAGTTTTCATATAATTAGCCTTCAATCCAGAGATACATTAAATAATCATACCATTTAAATTTATATGTATTCCATTCTTTGTGATATTACAACTTGATTTCTAGGTATTCCCCTTAAATGTTAAGCAGAAGAAGAATCCTTTTTTAAGGATTCTCCTTTAAAAAAAGATCACTGGACTAGAAGAAGGTAAGGTTATAATCCTGGTCTGACACTGAGTGAGTGACTGTCATTAGATAACCTCACCTCCCTGGGTTTTGATCATCACATCTTAAAAGAACAGGTCAGAGACTGTGTTCATGATCCTTTCACTTTTGGCATTCTGTTTTCTAACATACATTTTAGGTAAATGTTTCCACCCCAGCAGATGATGTCTGTTGCTACTCCTATGAGCATAACACTACTTTTCACAAACACATCCCTTACTTTTCTACTGTAAATTTTTATTTTAGTATAATAGTAGCCAGCTGTGCATCTCAGTAGCTTTCCCTGAGGGATTCAGGAACCAATCTTTGTGTTTAGTCACTTGGTACTATGAATAATGAGATGTGTGCACATGTGCAAAAGTATCAAACTGGGGTTTTCACCAACATGATGCTCCATCTAGTAGGTTTTCTGTATGTTTACCTGAGCATCACAGAGGGTAAAATACACTCAGAGCACTCTAGGAATTTTTTTTAAGTTTTCTTTTGATTTTTCCAGTATTAGTAGCCCAATTCAGTAAAATGGCATATGAAAAACTAGATTTGGAAGTTTTGGAGGTGGTCAAAAGTGAATCATCAGATTATTCATGCAGGATGATGAAGATGATCTATTATGGTAAAATATATGTTTTCATAACAGAAGCGTAGTGTGGGTGGATGATGATGATGATGATGATGACAATGACTTTGACTTTGGCCATGTGAGCCAAAGTTTCTGTGACAGTGAAATGGAGCAAGAATCAACTGATACTGACACAGGGAATCCACATTTCTTTGATACAGATGACAAAACAGCAATGTAACTGCATATTTGACTAATTGAAATCTTTTTTTTTTTTGGTACCAGGGATCGAGCTTGCGCAACAGGCGGCAAAACCACTGAGCTAAATCCCCAGCCCTGAAATCTTGCGAAATGGTCACGCAACCAAATGGAATGATCCAGTGTTAGAACCTGGTCCAAAAATATAGTGAGGGTCTTGGCAGGGGTGAAACCTATTAGACAAAATGCCAGCACTGCAATTCAAAGTTGGAAATTGCAACACATGAAATGTTACAAGATGTTGTGAAATACACAAAGGCTGAAATACAAGTAAAACATTCTGTATGCACAAATAGGCATATTCAAAACTGTTATTATGACACCTGTCTAGCTGAATTGAAAGCATTCATAGGTCTGCTATAGTTAGCAGGAATTTCTTTTTTTTTTGTATTAAATTCTTTTATTGGTACATTGTAGGTATACAACACAATTACATTTCTCATTGGGAATTGTACC